GCATGGCTGGCAGAGGGCTGGGATGGTCTCAATCAGCCTGCTCTGTGCTGATACGTTCAGAATGCTTGTCAGCTAAACATTCCAACATCCCAGTATTGCAGTAAATCAGGCTAATGGTTTGCTCCAGAACTGAAGTGGTTCCCTGCCAACTGCCCTCCCTTTAATGCGCAGTCAGCTCCTTGCAGCTTATATCCCCTGTTTCTGGGAACACGTGCTGTCAGAAGATCTTGTAAGTCATTTCCTTACACGTCTTCAAACCATCCCTGAAGACCCCAGTTTGCCAGAAAGAAGTCAGCTGCTCCGTGTGATGCTGGGCAGCTGCTTGCTGTCCCTACCTGCCTGCAGGTAATTGGTGCAGCCACGCGACCACTTCTGCAGCTGACATTCATAGCGCTCATTCCATCGACAGACCCTCCCTAAGGAGAAAACTCTGCTTTACTCTATTAATAGTGTGCGTGGGTGTGCTCTGGGTATCTGTAGCTGCTCAAGACCTACAGGAATGTGGCGTGTTGGCAGGAGAGTTTGACCCAAGGAGGCAGCAAATGCCTGGTGTCTCACAAGGAAGCCAGCACGAATAAGTCCCCAAACTGCTGTTTTACTGCAGTCTTACCAACAGGGTGGGTGAGACGGCTGGTAGATGAAATAGTTAACCAAGCACCAGCTCTGCAGAAGCTGCTGATGGAGAAGGAGGCAGCAGCTAGCCCCACTTATCCTCATGTGTCTCCCACTGCTATCAGATATTGCCTCCTGAAAGCTCGTGCTCAGAGCAGGGAGATGGAAATTGCTATTGACAGAAGTACCCTGCAGACAAGGTCCTCTGCTGCAAAGCTGCTAGCATCTTGCATGGTGGAAACCTATTTTAAATGACAACAGAGCAGTATGCTTTGGAAAGACATTGCTGTGTGGTTCTCTAAATTACGGGGGAGGGATGGGGAACAGAAGTACAGCTTGGGCAAATGCTGTCAGACGTGAGGTGCTCTGTCTTCCAGAGCTCATCTGTGCAAATACTTCCAGGCCACCAGGGAATGTTGTCACTGACAAACCATGGGAAATGGTAGACTGAAACCAATGGCTGATGGAATGACCAGCAGTGATGTGATCACAGGATGCATCCAATGTTAAAAAAAAAAAACAAGGTTGGTCAGAGGTTGCCTCCTACAGCATTATTGTTCTCAGCGATCCAAAAATATAGCCCCACTGAACACTTCTGCAGCAGTACAGGCTGTGTTATTGAAGGAGTATGTGAGGAAGAGCAAGGAAAAGCAGCATGCTGTCATAAGTTAAGATCACTACTGCTGAAAACTCGATGAACTTGAGATCCCAAAGCCCAAAACAAAGCTTAATCTTGATTAGGTTCTACACTTACCCTCTTATCATATTATCTGAGTACATCACACTCTAATTATAGGTATCTGAACACTTAGTGGGGTTGAGAAGTGCTAATCCTATGGAAGAAGCCCTTGAACACAGAGTGAAGCCGAGTCAGAAACAACTCTCAGTTTTTAAATGCCAGCTAAGTATGCAGCAACCAAGGGAAAAAAACATTCTTACATCAGCAGCACTTCAGAAAATTTGCCTCTTCCTCATCATTAGCCCAGATCCTGAGTCTTGGCTCTACATTCAGAATGGAGTTCTTATGAGGAGAAAAAAATGCATTATAATGTTTGTATTTATAAAAGCATCATTTAAACATATCAGTAATCATTTGGAGAAAGGCGTAATACTTACAGCGTCTCGGTGGGATGTTTTATCTTACTCTCAAGAGGTATACAGAAGTGCTTCTCAATATTTTAATATCTGTTAGGCAGTGGTTGCAGTTTATTTATCTCTCTCTAGTGGATACAGAGTTATGAGTTAAATATTCCATCTTCCCTTCCAAAGGATGTAAGAGACTGTATTCCTGCACTCATGCAAACAACAATTCTCCCTTCCACATCACATCTTGGTATGGAAAATAGCACTGGCACAGCTGCCCAGGATGTGGGGAAGTTCCCATCCCTGGAGGTGTTCCAGAACCACAGAGATGTGGGCAGTGGCATGGGGGTGGGCTGGGGTTGGGCTTTGGGATGCCACAGGGTCTTTACCAACCTTAATAATTCCATGATTCTATGCATTTCTTTGAGACATGCCCCACGAAGTCCTCAAGAAGAGCTTCCAGGAGTTCCTACTTTGGGTAGACACTGCAGAATGGTTGTTGCTGAATTTAATTGAGCCATTTCCTTTTTCTGCTGCTTCTGTTTCACGGCAGTTGTTCTTTTGCGTTGCTTTACCTGTTAGGACATGGAACTGAGCACACTGCCAGATCTCGAGGGAAGGAGGGTGTTTGTATCGTTGTGTTTAAGTACAAGTATGACTGATGTTGTGCTTTAAATACCAACCACTGCTTCAACAGCTTCCAGCCTGGCTACTCTGAGTTTGTTCCAAATCTGAGCTTCAAAGCCCATCATTATGAAAAAAATACAGAATATGTATTCTTACATATCCTGGTAAAACTATGTTTTTGATGCTGTAGGGATGTAAAGAGTCCTCCACGCCCTGTAGATCATCAGAGCTCTTGATAGCAACTTCAAGCCTCACTGAGGATTCAATGAGCTGTCACTGAGTTACATGACACCTATTAGGATTATGGAAAAAAATTATCCAGTTTGTTGCTGTCATTAGCTATCAAGTATTACAGACACTAGAGAGAACCCTGAACCAATATCCATGATCTCAACTATAGCAAAAGTATTGGGAGGAATGTTTTGTTTTCCCAGGCATTGATATAGATCCAAGTTTCACAGCCATGTGCTGTGGCTGGTCAGAATGATCAACCTCTATATCCCTAAAAACTGCAAATGAAAAGGAATTCTCAAACTCTTCTAGAATTTTCTGCTTAGGACAGATTATCTTTTTCTACCTCTGCTAGTCCTGGTGGGAGAGGCTCAGGGTGTAAAGGACAGAGGGTCAAAGCCACAACCCAGGAGAAAGCCAAACACTGTTAATTCCAACCCCCCCTGTCCTGCTGGCACATTTCAGCCCTGCAGTGGAAGGGATGGCTCCATGGCCTCATTGCAGGAGAAAGTTCTGCTAAGGGGCCCATTTCATTCCAAACTTTAATAACATACGGCCATTTTACGGAGGCTGAAACCCTCCCACAATCCATCAGCACTGCAGACACCAGAGGCTTGGGGAATTTGGTTTTGCAGACTTTGTGTCTCTTAATTGAATTTCTGGAAGCAGGACGTTTGTTTGGGCTGCTGCCCATGCCCAGGCAATGGAGCTTCATAAGGAGCAACTGTGAGAGTTCTGCTCCCTGTGAAACTTCTGCTTTTCTACCAACTCCAGATAAATTCAGTCAACTGAATTACAACTTATTGAAGAGATACCTACAGACTGCCCAGGAGCCCAACCTATATGCACAGAAGCAGAGTGCCATTGAAAGGCCTATTTCCACAGGATACTAGCGTGAGAGGACTATTTTCTATTTATTCTTCTTGCAAAGGAAGGAAAATAAATCATACTCTGAATGTATTTCCTCTAATTTTGCCTATTATAGTGAAAAGGCTCGTAGAAATACCCATCCCATCTCAGAGGCTCTGTTATCCTGGGAGAGGTTTCCTTGTGTGAGCTGCCATAAAAACAAACAGCGGGATCTTTAAAATCTGGGCTTGCTGGGATACATGCAGCCCCAAATTTGGGGCAGGAGGACACGAGGGGAATGTGCTCAGTGGGTCAGCACTGGCATGGCACTGCCTTCTGCACCAGAAGCCCTGCTGTGTTCTTCACAGCCCCTGAAACGCTGTACAGGGAAAGCCAGAGCCGTTCCCACAATTAGAGCAGATCTATCATTTGCTGGAAGAATTAAATACACTGTAGTAGCAAACCTGCAGTTGACACTCAGAGGGTGCAATTGAAATCCCGTGGATTAGTAATTCTTTTGAGATCTTTGTAATCATTGGTAATAGGTAGCGAAATAAATCCACGGTTATATCCTACAGACTGCAGCTGTGCTTCTGTTAAAGTCGTATTAAGTGATGGTTTTTAAATCCTTCTGCCAGCTAGAGCTGTAAGTACCAAAACTCCAGCGCAGAAGATAACTCCCCTGGGGTGATGGATGCTCCTGAGCACCAAAGCGCTGCTTAATGAATAATGAAAGCAGCAAGGCAGGATCACACCTCAGGGCCACGCTGCTGCAGGAAGCTCTCAGACAGACCTCCCCATGCAGCTCCTGCAGCAGCAGGCACAGCACCCAGGCTGAGACCGGCTGCAGATTCTGCGTAATCATAGAAAGTAAGATAAAACACTTTTTATAAAGCAAACCTTTATGCAGGTGGACAAAGTACTGAACGCTCTGCCTTGTTCACCCATCCAACCTGGCATTGTTCCTGTGGGCCTCAGGAGTACGTGCTCACAGCTTGGCTTCCTGCACGGGCTACCAGTTAGCTGAGCAAATGTGCCATTAAAATCTGAACCAACCTTCAGAGGGGGATGTGCAGGTTGAAGTCGCAGCAGGAGGAGATTTATGGACATGTTTTCCAGTTGAAGAGCCAGCAGACAGTTCAACATCCAGCAGCTCTGATAAGGAAAGCAGCAGCTCACGGGGATGAGCATGGCTCCGGTGCCCAGTCTTGCCGTATAACTCATGCTGTGGGCAGGGACCCACAGGGACAGCTATGCTAGGAAGAAAAAGCAGCTCTGCAGAATTGGTATCCTACAAAGATAAGAACAGCATTGAGAAAATAAAGCATAGAGAGATTAAAAAACTCAAGGATACTAGTGGCAGAGTTAAGAGAATAACAGGGAAATCCTGGCTGTCCTTTCCTGCTGCTGAGCTTCTGGTCAACCTGCTCCAAATTCATAACCTAAGAGATGGTTTCTTGATGGCATGAAACATCAGAGGCAAATTAGTTGCACAAGTAGAGTACTCTTATAGAAAGAGGGAAGGGGAGCAAAGCAGAGCTGACGGAGGGACTTTTACCTGCTTCTCTTGAATATGTGTTTGCTTTGTTTTCATTTAGGAATCTACAAAGGACACTGCTTCCGAATCAACCACTTCCCTGAAGACAATGACTACGACCATGACAGCTCGGAATACCTTCTCCGTAAGTTGGAAAGCAGCGCCTGGTGCACAGAACTAAGAGCCAAAGAGAGGCACTATTCATTGCAAGAGCCCAGTCCTCAGGGATCACTATTTTAAGGATTTTCTCCACGCATGGAACTCACAGCATTTCAGTGCCCATTCTCTTAAAATTACATGGAAACATTCTAAATGGAAACTACTGCATTCCCAGATTGGAAAGGATGTTTTACAGAGGGAGCATTTAGTTGGTTCCTGTAGCAAAAGCAATCTGAGGAGTGAGTTCCTGCCCATGAGGAAGCTTTTCCTGTCACTTAAACACAGCCCTTATGCAAGCCTCATCCTTTGCAGCTGCTCTAAACCACCTCCCATGCAGTGAAATTGCTGCAGCTTAGAAAGGAAGCTGAAATTCCTGCAGATAACAGCAAAATCTCAGCAGGAATGTGGGCTGCAATTTCCCTGCACGGCAGCTGGTCGCTGATGCTCTGTGCTGGTGTGAAAGCCCGCACAGAAGTACTTCTATCCACTGACACAGTGCTTGAAATAATGGCACTCGTTCTGCCCTCCTCCTGACCGTGGCTCTCTTGGTAGATACAACATCTTGAAACCTGAGTGTGAAACTTCATGAATCCTGCAAAATCTGAGTTAGATTTCCCCTCCCGTTAGCTGTGTTACCTTGATGTTTCTCTTGTGCAAAAGAGCTGCCCAGCGAAGCTGAAAGCAATGCCTTTTGTAAGAGAAAGAAACTGCAGTACACAAGGTGTTGGGAAAGCTTCAGGGAGCAATGAGCGTGGCTGCTGGCTGAGACATCCAGCGAGGCAAAATGCTCCTCAATTACACCGCTATTAATTACCTGAAACACCATTTAGAGAACAACTCTGTCCTTCTGCTCGCTTCTGGGAAACAACTTCTGTTTACTAAGACAAGAAGGAGGAAAAATAGGGCTTTTTGAAAAGTGTGCTTACCAGAAAACCCAGATCTTTTTTCATCTTTCCTCTTGTCAATTTAGATCAGTCATGATGCTGGGGTGACGTGATTGCAGTGCTTGGGCAAAGGCAGGCTTGCAGAGTGTGAGCGCGGCTGCATTTATCTTTCATACAAAGCCTTGGAACTAATGTCAAATTGATGCCAAGTCAGCTTTAGGAAAGAAACATCATTAGGAAAAGGACTTTAAAGGAAAGATGAATTAAGCAGCACCTTGATAAAAGTGCATTATGTCATTTTTGTTTGGAGGAAGGGATGGGAAAAACAGTTACAGCCGCTCTGTAAGACAGGAGATGGGTAAATTGTTTGCAAGTGTACTGCGACTGATGATCCTAAAAGCTGCTTTCAAGAGTCACTAAGTACAGACCTTAAAAGCAAGTTGGCACAACCCTTGGTACCTCCTGCAACACTGGGATGCAGCCACAGCTCCATCAGGTCTGAGCTCTGCACGGATAGCAGGAACCTCTGCTTTAACTCCAGGAAGGAAAACTGCCACTTCAAATGAAATGTATGCAGATGATTTAGAAATTACTGGAAGGTTATGCACCTAAATCAAGAATAAATGAGCTTATATGTAAATGTATATATCATCTAATGAGAGACAGATCTTGTCTAACTTGGCACAGAAACAAGGATGTTTGCATCCTGCTCACAAGAGGCGTGAGACCCTCCTTCCCACTTCAGCCCCCTCTGCAACACCTTTGCAAGCTCCTGTCCCCACATCAGCCATCAGGACCTGCAGCCATTCTTCGGCACAAGACCTTGGCTGGGGACAGCCCTAATTTTTGTCTCAGGGAGGCAAAGGGAAAAGCACAGTTCCCATCCACGCTGTGCTCAGATGAAGGCACTGACCCGACCTTGTGTGCACCCTATGCTCCTGGGAGAGCAGCACATGGGCTCTCAGCCTGCCCTGCAGATACCAACCTGGCCTAGACTTCAGATAAATGTGAACAAAATAGCACCAGCAGAGCATCCCAGTTCAAAATCCTATTGAAATCAGTGAAAAAAAAATGCCTAATCTTAGGGAACTTCAGTCCAGGGCATGAGTAGGAGCAGCAGTCCGGATTTCACCCCTTCTGCAGTCTTTCACCCAATCTGCTCCCTGATAAACCAGAGGAGCAGCAGCTGCAGTGACTGCAAACACGTGCAAGGAAGCTGTAAGCCCTCCTGCTCAGCTCCTGTGGCTGCTTGCAGCAGGAAGGCAGCGTGGGGCCAAGCACAGCCTCGTGGCTGACGGCACAGCCCATGCAATGCTTCCCTGAGGTGTCAGTGCACAGAGCACGGCCGATGCGAACGGACAGGATGGTAAACAAGGAGAAAGCAGGGGAGAGAGCAAAGCCCAGATTCCCTTAATGTTTTTTGATCTGCTGTCATTTTATTACCAGTATTGGGAGACATACGTAAATTCTACATGGTACCTATGAGTATTCCTTTTAAATTCCAGAGCTGAAAGTAGCCATCGTACCCAAGAGAACACGGTATGTTTTGTTTCTCTTCACATTAATTAACTCATAGAGAAAAATTACCTCTGGGGCTTTTTACTAGATGTGATACAACCCACCCTGCATGCACGGCACGTCTGTCAAGTCTCTTCTCATACTGTCACTGAAGCAGTTTAGAGAAGTCCTTTGAAATCACAGAATTGTAGTGGTTGGAGGGACCTATGGAGATCCCCCGGTCCAACCCCCAGCTAAAGCACGTTCCCTGGAGTAGGCTACAGTCATTATCAAATCGTTATAAACAGCTTGAAGATGAAGTATAGGAAAAAATAAGCAGACAGTGTGGCCACAGCAAATTTCAATCCTATGCTGCCTTTTGTTGGGGTATGAATAGGGAGTGATTTGAGATGCTTCTGTGTCCATGAGCACAGAGTCTTTTTCTGATAACCAATCCCAAAAACTGATCCAAAAGTCAGAGCACCTCTACCTCTGACCACACATGGGGACGCACCCAGCACAAGAGAATGCACTCTCAGCACTCAGCATGCATCCATCGGTGACCTGACACCCTCACTCCTTGGGTTTGCCAATTACTGCAAAACTCATTCTAAACAGGAAAGCACCCAACTGAGCTGGGTTAAATCTGGCCAGAACATTCCCTCTCAGCAAAGAACACGTGCAGCAGCGTTGCCAGGATTGGTAGGAGATGTCCTTTTCACACAGTGGCAGATCAATACGGGCACAAGCTTCCCAGGCAGGGACTGTCTCTTTGCTTTATGTTTGCACCGTCCTAATGAGCCCCGGGCCTGTCGCTGGGGTTCCAGGGGGCTTTGCAGCACACACAAAAGCACTGCTGTTATTAAATGCCCAGCCCTGTCCCTCTTGCAATCTGTGGGAGTTTTGCCACCGGTCACCAGGGGAATCGTTAGAAAGCAATTCACTAAATTAGCAACGCCGCTGCCATCAGAAGTCAAATGAGAAATCAGCAGCAGCAGCATCTGGCCATTCCTCCTTGAGAAGCAGCACCGTGTGTGTCCCCAGAAAGATGGCACCCGAGGGGGACTGCGGCAGCCAATGGCCCCAGATGCTGTTTGCTGGCAGCTTTTCCCTCCTCATACCCGCAGCCCTGGGGGTCCCCCATCTCCCTGTGCATGTCCTGACACTAGTGCTGCCTGCTCCACTTTCAGCTGCTGCCTTGCCCCATAGTGCCCCATAATGTCCCATAGGGCCTGAAGGCTGGCTAGAATCAGTGGCTTAGATCCTTGTGCAGGATTTTTATAGCCCATACTAATGAACGGGCTGAAGCACACAGAATTTTAACTGACTCCATTTAGCTGTCAGGAAATGAAACACGAACGTCTGAGATATACTTGTTAAAATTTCCTCCTTAGAAACCTGAAAGGTTTCAAAGTCCTAAATACTCAACAGGGAAGAAAAAAAAAGAGTAATTATCTCACTGCTAACACAAATGCTGCAAACTCCAAGAGCCGTGCTTTGCTCACCTTACTCACAGCAGCAGACCCTCTGGTGAGGCTGTCCCCAAACGGTGCACAGTTCATCATCAGTTCATGAATATTTCAGTGCTACCTGCTGTGTGATGCTGGCTGTCATTTACCTCGTGCTTCATCAGAAATGTTCTGGTGGCATTACATTAAGGCAAAAACATCGGATTTCCTAGGAGGAAACTCAGGAGATTGATGTTGCTCAAATGAAGGTGGCCCTTCTACATTGGCCACCCACCTGGGCTCCCCCACACCTGCCCACAAATGCAGAATCAGTGGTAACTGCAGCAAAATTTGGGGTTTGGAGACTTTGCAGTCTCCACAGCAGCACCTGAGGAGGCATCTGAAATGATTACTGTCTGTTGTGTTTGCTTCCTATCTCCCCTGCAGGCATTGTCCGTGCCTCCAGTGTGTTCCCCATCCTAAGCACAATATTGCTGCTGCTGGGAGGGCTCTGTGTTGGAGCAGGGAGGATTTACAACAGCAAAAACAACATTATTCTCAGCGCTGGAATTCTCTTTGTCGCAGCAGGTATGTTCTCCTTAAATTGAGTCCTTAAGAAGCGCTGCCTTTTTGGATTGAAATATGCATAAGTGCAGCTTCATCTGGTGGGGAAGCCACCAGCAAGACCCAGCATGGCCTGGCCAGGCCAAAAATACCATGGGGTGATTCCCAGCCCACCTAGGAGAGAAGGACACTGTATCACATCCACAGTTCTTCAATTTCCTGAATTTCTTCCCCAGAATCCCAGTTCTTTCAAGCCATTTTCATTGCAGGTGGGTGTCATGTGCTCCTGCAGCTTTATGCTGCTGAGCTGCTCATATCCAAATCAGGAAATCCTGTTTTTGTTGCCGATGAAGGCAAGCACAAGGAAAACAAGTGGGGTCGAGCCTTCTGGCTGGGTGCAAAGCTTTGCTTCTAGGACTGATTTTCACATGGAGTAACTGGGTGACACATCTCTTCCTCTATCCTTTTCCTGGGTTGAGGGCATGATCAACCTCATACTGGGCAAATTTCTCAAGAAAAAGAAATGTTTTTGAAGCTCTTCAAAATGCAAATTCTTGAGAAACTATCATTTTCTTGAAAAAGAAATTGCAGGAAGCTAAAGCTTGTAGCATCCAGTTTTTGCTCTACTTAAAATGTACTAAACACAAGATGCCTGAATGGAAGCATGAATCAGGCATCCCTTACATCCCGGCCCTTTTTTCCTCTTCTTATATGAGAGCAGAAAAACTTCACCTATGCTAGGTGAGTATGCTTTCCAAATTAGAAACATCCAAGAGAGTCATCCACATTGTTAATAGACTTCCCTGAAGCTCACATTAAGCATGCTGCATTCAGATGGAAATTCAGCAAGGTGGAAGAGAACTTGTCTTGATGAAGGTGAACAGCCATAGCCCTGAGCTCAAAATGTATTTTTATTACTAACAATATTAGCAAGTTCCCATACGCTACTTCTTTCCCATCATGTCAGTGAAGAAATGGGGACAGATCCTGCTGAATCTTTTAAGATCTTTGCAAGCAGCCGTGAAAACGACATGGGTCTATTTGTTTTTCAAGGACAAACGAAATCTTCGGATAGTTAAGCATAAATGTAATGTAATGAAATTTCCTGGTCATAGTCTTAGAAATATTCTTGTCTAAAAGGTAACATGGCTTGAATTTTTTAATTTCCCAGCCACGTGACAGCTGACTTCTGTTTTTCTCTCTCTAGGACTAAGTAATATCATAGGGATCATTGTCTACATATCAAGCAACGCAGGTGACCCAAGTGATAAGCGAGATGAGGACAAAAAGAACCATTACAACTACGGTTGGTCTTTCTATTTTGGAGCCTTGTCTTTTATCGTGGCCGAAACCATAGGTGTTCTGGCTGTGAACATTTATATCGAGAAGAACAAAGAGCTGAGGTTTAAGACCAAGAGGGAATTCCTTAAGACTTCTTCCAGTTCTCCTTATGCCAGGATGCCAAGCTACAGGTACAGGAGGCGGAGGTCCAGGTCCAGTTCTCGATCCACAGAGCCTTCTCCATCTAGAGACATTTCCCCGGTTGGCATGAAGATAGCAAGCACCATTCCCATGAACGAGATTTCCATGTACACTCTGTCCAGAGAGCCCTTGAAGGTCACAACAGCCGCCAGCTACAACGCAGACCAAGAAGCCAGTTTTCTGCAGGTCCACAACTTCCTTCAGAAGGAATTTAAGGAAGGACTCCACGTCAACATGGTCAACAGGAGAACAACACCAGTCTGAAGTTCCTTCCCTCCCTGTGGTTTTTGGAAAAAATATCAGAACAGACCTGTCATGAAAGAGAAGGAGCGATGTTAAAATACCCTCTCACCTCTTTAACTGTGGCATGTATTGAGGCAGCAAGTGGGGATCCTCTGGACCAACATAAAGATGTTACACGCTTGTAGCTTTTTCAAAGCTATTTGGAGTTTGTTTCTTTCAGTTCTTGGTGTCACGAGATGAAGGTAGTTCATGTCCCTGCACTTTTGTAATGTGTACAAAGTCTTGGAGAAGCTGCGAAGGACTTGCCACCAGTGTGTTTCAAGGGTCGCAGAATTGTTGTACAACTGTTTTCTAAATCGAGATCCCTTACTACAAACTGGCAACTATAATTTACAACCAAGCCCAAGGATACGAACTAGTCCTCCAGTGATCCGCTCCCCTTTGACACAGTGTGAGCTTTGCCTCTTCCAAAAAAGAAAAGGAAAAAAAAAAAAAAAAGAAATATATAGAAGATATTTTTGAAGACAACACCATCTAAAACTGACCTGCGCTGCTGAACACGTAGATCATTCATGTGCTGAACATTACAGACTCCCTGATGGGGCATCCAGGGGTCTCCTACCTGGGGGTGGAAGGCAACCCCTCCGGGCAGCACGGGTGGGGAGAACAGGGTGGGTGCATTGCCCAGCGCCTAGCAAGGGAGGGACTAAGGTAGGTGGGACTTGAGCATCTTTGCAAATATCATTTCTTGCCTAACAATTAGAAAACTTGAATTCTCATTCCGACTAGCCCTAGTGCCTGATCCGGCGAGGTGCTGAGTGCTGTCTGCCAGGAGCAGGCCCCTGCGGACTGCGTGCAGCCAGGGTGAGGAGCAGGGCTGAGCCTGCGACCACAGCCCCCATTTCCTTACTGCTTCACAAGTGCAACACTAACGCTACTGGAAACTAAGATATCTGAGCAACACGTGTACGAAGATGAGAAGCTGATACGTTTGGACTAGCAACACATTCTGCAGCAATGGGAGCTGAGCGTTGACAGAACGGATGGCGACTTCGTGTTTTTTGAAATGGAACAAAAAACAATCACCATTTATGAGATATTTATTAAACTCTTTTTATTATGAATAAGTGCCGCATGGTGCAAGGTATAATTGCTTTTAGATGGAAATGATGGTTCAGCCTAATTTAATTTATTTTGTAATGATGATTCTACTCATGTGCAGAGAGCCCACAGGAAACTCTATGCATCTCCTAAGGGGGAGACTGGTCTGCACCCTTTGCTTCTATATGTTTCTGAAAGAGTCCGAATTCTTTTTTCTTTTAAATTTCTGTTTTTGTTTTTACACCTAGGCTTGGATTCTCAAATCTCAAGGTCCTGACTTGAAGGTAATTTAATTTAACAGTACTCACATCTCTTTTAGTGATCATTCAGCCAAGCCATACGAGAACGAGGTGCCCGGTTCCCCTTGAATGAGTTAGTTGCAATGAGAGAGGAGCATCCAGTTCCTGTAGGCTGCTTTGAACACATCCGTCTTTTTCACCCTGAAAATCTTTTCTACCTGGAGACTAGAGAAGTGGTGACAAGGAAAGAACATGACTTGGGAAGCTGACAGTGAGAGATCTCAGCCAAGCTGTTACAACCTCCTTAGTCTTAACTCACCCTGTGGTGGCCGCAGCATCGCAATGCAATGGTGGTTTGGATGCGAGGCTTTCAGCCAGTGGAACCAAGTCCTCCAGCAAAGCCCTGGGGGAGCTGCCTTAACAACCCAATAAGTCAAACCTCTCCCTCCCACCTAAGCCCTGCTTGGCCCTCTCTCCTTGCAAGAACCGAGACAATGCTCAGTCCTAAGCGCAAGTCTTCCCCTAGTCGCTGTCTTGCTCTGTTCTGCCCTCATGGAGGCAGATGATGGAAAGCATTATTTTGGCAAACCATCCAGCGGAGGTGGGCTGGAGCCTTCATCCCCGCTTGTTAAGAATTTCCATTCAGGTTAAAACTCTGCTGGGATCCTTTTTCAGACCTCTGAACTCTGAGAGCTGATACGAACGGAGTGATGGGAACTATTGAAAAGAAGTAGAAAACGTCGTGCTTCTTTCTGTATCAACACACTACGGAGAAAGGTATTACACGAGCTTTTTAAAAATACACAGAGGCAGATGAGAAAACTTTTTTACCTACTTTTCGGCTAGGACAACGTAAAAGAATTCTAAAATTATTAAAGTTCTTGATGAAAGGTTTTTTTTACAAGAATCTTTATGCTTTCAAACAATAAATTATTTCCTACTTTTTGAGACTTCGTAATATTAAAATACTTTGATTAGCTATGATAGAAGTAGAAGTTTGCAATGAAAAAAACCTTCTGTCTCATTAGTGCGTCATACTAAGTGCTAATTAATTTACATCTAATTATAGTCAATGTATTTTTCAAGTGCAATTTCCCAGAACTATTTGTTTCCCACTGTGTTAATAAACTAATAGTTAGAAATAAGTCCCATCCGTGTTTACTGTAATTAAGAATAAAACCATTCCCTTTCAAACCAGGAGTTAGATATAGGCTGTTTGTTCTAAACTCATGTCCATTGAACAGAAAGTGGACGGTGTGAGGTTCGTTTTGCGCCTTGGTTTTGTTCTTTTTATCTTCATTTGGAGTAAACGTGTTTGAATCCGCTCAGAGTGGGGCTGTGTCCCTGAGGTGGTGCTGGGACAGGGATTCAAGGCACTGGGAGGTGATGGGGATTGGGATGCACATCCTGGGGGAGGACGGGGCAGTGATTTCATATCCCAAAAGTCATGGTTTGTGTCAGACTGCCTTGTTCAGCCAAAGCCAAAAACGAGCTGTGACATTCGACAATTCCATTTAAAAATAAAAATCCTCCATAAATCCCTTTTCCTGGAGAAAACTCTGATTCCAACAAAGCAGTGATTTGTGGCATCCCTCCACGTGAACGGGGTCGATCAGAATGCACTGGATTGCTGTTGGACTTTGAAAGCACTCAACGATAGCTTAAAATAAACCTTCAGTTTCTCCACGCCTCTCTGTTCATCCCCGGACAGCATCTAACACAGATCAGCCCTGGTTTCTCAGTAAGGCTGCAGGTATCATCATCCCATCATTAACAACAGCCGGTCCTTTGGAAATAGCCTACAGCATACCACAACAGCAGAAATGCCATTGGAGCAGATTCCATTTTCTGAGAAACAAATTTCGGGTATCTCATCAGCTCTCTCCTCCTGGTTTCTCATACAGAATAGGAGAAATCACTTCATGTGCCCGTACTACTAACAGTAAACTCTTTTTATATTTCCTTTCTGTATGGATCACAAATCCACAAGGGCTAATATATCACATCCCTTGAGGTTGCATTTCTGTCTGCAGTTCTAATGTGTTATTGCCACTGTGCTTCAGTTCTGCTGGTGTAATCACAACCGTGTATAATGTACTTAATCCTTCCTTTTTAAATAAACCATTTTAAATGTATATCTGGGTTTGCCTGGAGAAAGATATATAGATTCTCACCTTCCAGATTCTCTGAGATGAAATTTCTACATTGTTGTTTTTTTTCATGTTTCTACCTATTTTGATAGCAGCTAGTTAGTGTTACTGGAAGGGTATGGACAGTCTTGTGTTCATACAGACCAAGAAATACCCAGGATAAACCATCTCTTCAACACTTCCAAACATTTGGGTAGGAACTTCAGAAAAAACCTTCTAGTTTCTAGATTCTAAGATTCTTGTTACCAGCTTGAATGTGGACCAGATGATGCACACTCTTTAGTTGCTGGCTGGGTGTCTTCCTCAAATACTTCTTTTAACTTTCCCTTCCTATGTCCTACACCTCCAGATGGTCTTTCAATAGAAAGCTGCTCGTGTGCCTGCACACCAAGAGACCTGCAGCCCCCAGTGCTCACAGCTACACAGGGTACCACAAACAGGGAGGCTGTGGAGAGGGGAGCCAAGGCAGAGCCCTTATGGCTGTAGAAAGTGGAAAAGGGTCGAGAGAGGAGGATGTGGCATTTCCTCAGGAAAGAGAAAATGAACCAACATGGGAGGTGCTGGAAATAAAATGGACTTAGGAGTGCTCTACACCTCATCTTACAGCCCCAGCAGAACTGCAGGCAGCACTACCAAGAGGGAAGCACTGCCCAAAGGATTGGAGCCCGCAGGGAACTGCATGCCATGGGGCTGCTGGGCTGGCAGATGGGCAGCAGGCTGCTTTTTCTATTAAAAAACACACAGCAACAACAAAAACCCGTTTTGCTCTCACCGTCTGTGAGGATTTCAGCCTCAGGCCATGCCCAATCTGCTCTACCTTCAGCCCTTGTCACCTGGTGAGTCTTCTCCAAGAAGGGAGCTGCAGATCCTGGTTAATGCCCTCACGGTGAGCAGAGGTCAGTCAGCACAAAATGCAGAACGGTGCAGATGCTGTGGAGCAGAGCCACGCCAACACCTCTGCTGGGACAAAAAAGGCAAAAGGCTTGGTCATGAGACATCATTTATCATTTTCTAGAATAAAGAAACATGACAGTGCCATTTTCACTTTTTCACTTGCTGCTGCTAAGTGCCACTAATTACAGCCCTCCCTGCTTCCCAACAGGTCCTCATTAATGCTCTGTTTATTTTTCATGTGATACTGATTTCTGAAGGCGAATGCTGCCCAGCTGACACAGGGAGACAGTGAGAGACATTCCTTGCTGCCCTTCTGCCCCTCTGGGTTTCAGCTTCACTGGATGTTTGTCCAGAAATCCTGCAAAATTTGGGGAGAACAGGGCCTGTGGGAGAACAATCCAAGGAGGAGTTTCTTCTCTCAGGAACCAGTGGCACCAAATCACACTTTTTGGCCAGGGAAGGGTGAGTTTTCCCCTTTTCATTCATTCTCTTTATTTCCTGGATGTTTTTAACAAAATTCATACCCCACTTCCACCACCCCCTTCCACCACTCCCCCCAAAAAATAATAAAAGGCAAATTCTGAAGAACAATCCAGATCAGAGTACCTGAATGAGAGCAGCAAGCATGATCCTTGCCAGCAATGGAAGAGACATAAAAATCTACAGCAACAAAAGCAGCAATGAGTTCCCTCTCCTGCAGCCCTTGTAGGATGTAATTAGTCTAAAGCATGATCATTAGCACTTCCTTCCTCAGCAACCAAAGCACTGCTTTATGCCCACGTTTGCAAACACGCAGTCACGTCTGCAGCCAGGATGCAGCTCTGAAGATTGACCGATGCCCAGTGAAATCTAACAAGAGACTGCTTCAA